TGAAGGATAAGCACAGTGTGAAATGTCCCCATTAGGAATAATCCTATTTGTTGGTGCATCTGATGGGAGTGAGGATGTCACAAGATGAAAGCAATCTATAAACCAGAAAGCACCTACTACGAATAGTGATTGAAGAGGCATTTCTTTTCCCAAGAGAACTTTCCCCAGAATGAGTGGGAATGCAGGCTTGTACTCTGAAACCTGCAGCTGGGAGACAGGCAGACAGTGAAGAGCCTCCAACTCAGAAAGGAGGAGAACATGGACACCACCAGCCCCCAGCCCCAAAGGTCCTATAGGATGTGGCCTGGTTGGGACTTGAGGGCCATTGGTGGCTTTTGAGCAAAGATGTATATAGTGGCCCCTGGGGACAGAAGGCAGTGTGAGCTGAGTAAAACAGACAGGCTTTGTGAACTGGGGGCTGTACCATGACCAGGAATCCATAAAGCTGGAAGCCTCTTCCCTGAACTGTGCAAGAGTCAACATCTGGCTGCTGCCTCACGTCCATGATCTTCTGTTCACCATTCCATCACCCAGAACACTTCAGCAGTCAAGTGTTTTCAGCAGCTTGATCTAAACCCTTTTGGTAGTCACACCAAGAATGGATGATATGAAGAAGCTATCCTGAATTTTCTCTATGTATCCCACTTGGTATTAACAGTCTCATGGTTCACTGCAGCCATGTCAGTGTGTTTGCCAGACCCTGACTGCGTGTTGATGATCTCTGTGCCCCTGTTAATGATTTCTAAATCTCTAAACTCTTGTGGCCCCAAGGCTTTTGGAGAAACATTAGGCACAAGTGATCCTAGCCCCAGTAAGAGCCAACACATTCAGAGGACTGAGAGAAGCCCAGGGATACTGGATGCATTACCTTACTCCAGCCTTCGGCCTGCAGGGATGTCCTTCCTGGGACAAGCAGGACTGAGGGCCAGCCTCAGGTCAACCTAGATGACTACACACTCCACCATCTGCCAAACTGCCTCAGGATATAGAATCTTTTGGTACCAACCATGGTCTTCTGTGGTAGAAATGGGAGGAACCTAGAGCTAAAAAGAGGAAGGACCCTTGGCAAGCATGTGTATTCACTAGTTTATAATTCTGGAAACCTGTACACCATCTTGTTTCAGGACATCCAGAGCCCTGTGTGGTCTTCCAGTACAGTCTCACAAAACCTGGGTCCAGCCACACAATTCTGCGGTGTTAACGTGATTCAGGAATCTCTGGTTTTGAGATACAGGCCATGACACCGGAAGCTCAGCAGCATTAAGCTCACCTGGTTGACTTGCTTTCATAACACACTTCTCAAGTGCCAATAGGCAATGCAGGTAGAGGAGATGGCGGAAAGGGCATTGTGCTTCTGCTGGTGCTGTTTGCCCTGCTGGGCAGCCCCCTCTGTCTCAGAGAAGCCTGTGTGTTAACTTTGGACAGGATGCAAAGCTACCTTCAGGGAGTGGCACCTGGCCCTCACTTGCAACATGCTTGGTAGCTAATCATCTTCTTAGGATTAACCTGGACCCAAAATTGCAAAGGCCATGTTTTCCCTGAGCAAAATTGTGGTTTTCTGTTAGTTCATGATCTGGAAGCTGTCTCTTGCTCACCCACCCCGGCTTCTGTGCCCCGGTGACCCTCCAGGTACCCCAGTTACCCGTGAGGGTGTATGGCCATCAGCCTCACAGCACCCGGCTGAGCAGCCCAGATCAGTGTCCTTGCCTGGGTTTGTCCTTGGCATTGTGGCGTCATGGCTCAGAGGCCAGGGTTTAAGATCCTGAGCCAGTGATGACCCTTTTCCAGCCTCAGTTTTCACATCTGTATTCTGGGTGTAGTAACAGTGCACAGTTGCTGGGACAGCAGGGAGGGTTCCATTAGTTGAAAGACTGGGATAAATTTGGTGCACAAAGATGTTATGGGGAAGAGAACCAGGAAAATTATGCTGGGGCCTTTCATCTGCTTTTGGGACTTACTGTTGGTTGACAAGGGCAGAAAAAAGTGCTCCATGCCACCTTGTCTCCAGCCTGCAATCATGTCCCTCTCAGGTTCTGGGGACTGTTTTTAAGCAGCTTCCTGTTGGCATAGCAACATTGCCAGGAGAAATATCAATAAACTCAGATATGCAGATGACATCACCCTTATGGCAGAAAGTGAAGAGGAACTTAAGAGCCTCTTGATGAAAGTGAAAAAGAGTGAAAAATCTGGCTTAAAACTCAACATTCAAAAAACTAAGATCATGGCATCCAGTCCCATCACTTCATGGCAAATAGATAGGGAAACAGTGAGAGACTTTTGGGGGGCTCCCCAAATTACTGCGATGGTGACTGCAGCCATGAAATGAAAAGACACTTGCTCCTTGGAAGAAAAGCTATGAACAACCTAGACAGCATATAAAAGAGCAGAGACAATTCTTTGCCAACAAAGGTCTGTCTAGTCAAAGCTATGGTTTTTCCAGTAGTCATGTATGGATGTGAGAGTCGGACCATAAACAAAGCTGAGCACTGAAGAATTGATGCCTTTGAACTGTGGTGTTTGAAAAGACTCTTAAGAATCTCCTGGACTGCAAAGAGATCCAAGCAATCTATCCTAAAGGAAATCGGTTTTGAATATTCATTGGAAGGACTGATGCTGAAGTTGAAACTCCAATACTTTGGCCACCTGATGCAAAGAACTGACTCATTTGAAAAGACCCTGATGCTGGGAAAGATTGACCCTGATGCTGAGAGGAGAAGGGGATGACAGAGGATGAGATGGTTGCATGACATCACCGACTCAATGGACATGAGTTTGAGTAAACTCTGGGAGTTGGTGGTGGACAGGGAGGCCTGGCATGCTGCAGTCCATCGGTTTGAAAAGAGTCGGACACAACTGAGCTGAACTAATTGAGGACCAACGGCAGTCACCAGTTCCTATTTTCACTGCAAATTGAAGCAGAAATGCAGTGGCTTAAATCACAGAACAGGTGTTTCAGATTAAACATTAGGTAAAATTTCTTTTTCAGATGGATTTGATAAACTCTGAAATGGATTGTCATGGGAAGTTTTGAAGCTGCTTTTTCTGGAAACTTTAAGAAATAGGATAGATACTCATCTGCCTGAGACAGTTGAAGCACAATTCCATCTGGAGATGCTCTGATGCACTGGCTTCAGGTGGGAATGGAAGGGAACAGCGATCACCTTTCTACTGAGGTCTCCTGACCAAGTTTTTCTTTCCACTTTTCCGAGCACTTCAGCATTACTGATTTCATCTGATTTCAAAAGTTATACATGTTCATTACCTAAAATTCAGAGAATGCAGAAACATGAAAAAGTAAAACTCAAACAAAATCCTATAATTCAGAGGTAACCAAAAATATTTTATTTTGGCTTATATATTCTCCAGACATTTTTTGTACATTTCACACAGAATTTTCAAAAAAAAATGTGTCACACTGCACACTTCTGTAGTCCAGCTTTCTATATCACTAAATATGGCTTTATATCATTTTTGGTAGCTAAAGACAATTCCATGATATCCACGTAGCATAACTCATTTAACCAGGTTTCTACTGTGGAGGTTTAGGTTGTTTTCCCTGGAAATCCCTGTATATATGTCCTTGTGGAGTTGTCCAGTTATTTCCTAATAATAAATTCCTGGAAGTGAAACTGCTATATAAGTGTATGCCTGTTTAGATTTTTCCTACCTATTGCCAGATTTCCCTCCAGAAAGGTCAGATCAATGTGCATCACCATCAGTAATGCTTGAGCGGGTCTGTTTTCCCTTTTCCTATACAACATTAACTACTGTCCATGTTCACTGGATGTTCTCAGTGTTTTAATATACATTTCTTTGAGTTCTAGAAACATTGAGGTTCTCAAGGTTTTTAGTCATTTATATTTCTTTTGTTAGTTGCCTTTTGTCTCCTTTATGCATTTTTCTATTGGGGACCCAGATAGATAGATGGATGAGGTGGGTGGATGGATAGATGAATGGATCAGTTGTTGTTGTCTGACTCTTTGTGACCCCGTGAACTGTAGCCTGCCAAGCTCCTCTGTCCATGGAATTTCCCAGTCAAGAATCCTGAAATCGGTTGCCATTTCCTTCTCCAGGGTATCTTCCTGACCCAGGGATCAAGCTCGTGTTTCCTGCATTGGCAGGGAGGTTCTTTACCACTAAGCCACCAGGGAAGGATGGATCAACAGATATAGATTAATTATTCATTTTCAAAGCTGCCTTTTAACTTTACTGAATATGGACATATTGTTCAGAGGTTTGCTACACAAATTATGCTTTGGGCGGCAGTAGTTATAACTAGAATATAATGAGCTACTGGAATCCTGATCATAACTGTCACCTGTCTCCAGGTCAGACGAATTCTCCAGTCACCATGGAGTGAAGGGCAGAGTGTGGGAAGACAGGAAAATTGAGGAGACATGGTCAGTGCATGGTTTTGAATCAGATCAGAGTGTCCTGCCTTTGAATGCAGTCAGAGCCACTGGACTTGACAAAAGAACAGGAACAAAGCCTTCAACCCAGGGAGCCTGTGGTGGAAGGAGCAAGAGATGAGGGATGGAGGGAAGGTGGGGAAGATGGGCTGGTCATCTGACCTTCAGGGCCTGGCCCTCTGCTCCCCTCCATCTAAAGGTAGCAGCAGCTTCTCCTTCTCAGTTCCCCTGCCCACCCCTCCCCCACACAAAGCACCCATGTTAAGAGGCTTTCCCAACCAGAACTGGCATCCACACTCTCTTCTGTCTCTTCCCTTGGACTGAGGAGGAGGGGGACATGAATCTTTCTACTTGGTGGCATAGGGCAAGGCAGGCTGCCTCCACAAGGGCAAGGTAGACAGAGGTGGGAAAAAGGAGGACATTCTTCCTGGGGCAGCACTGCCTCTGGGGAGAAGGGCCTGGCTGCACAGTAGGGGAACTAGAACTTGGCACTGTGCTTTGTCACAAAGAGGGAGCTCAAACCAGGACCACATCCTAGTTCTTCAACTTCAACTTATCTTTGCTTTTTCCTTGTCACCTTATCTGTTTCAGATTACAAGTTTTGTGAGTTTTCGAGAAGAGTATCTTCTTCATTTCACTCAGAGTGCAAGCCAGACTCCTTACCTGGCCTGTCCGGCCCTGTGTGGTGTCACCTCGGCCACCTCTCCCACCCGCTAACTGACCCCATTCCCCACTGATTCCTAGAGCACTCCAAGTGTGTGCTCCCCCTCCGGCTGTGCACTTGCTGTCGGCTTTGCCTGAAGGCCGTCTCCCCACATGTCCACATAGCTTCCCGCTCCGTCCTCAGGTTTCTGCTCCAGTGTCACCTCGTCTCAGTGGCATGCAGAGACCATTGGCAGACAGCTGTCTCTGGGAAGTGTATCTCAGAAAGCAGGGACCAGACATCAGGGAGGGCTCCTGAGGTGAACCCCAGGTTTGGCTGACAGGATGGAAATGGACCCAAGACTCAGCAGGGTCCAGGGCTTGCAGCTCACCAGGGTGAGGGCTTGGCACAAGGGACCCAGCTGAGAATTCAGTACCTGGGCCTCTATTCCTTCTACTCCTCCAAGCCCACATGTCTCCTGCTGAGCAACTTTCCCCCAATACACACACACACACACACACCCAAGCAGCATCTTCTCTCTGTCCCAGCCTCCACTACGGGTTCATGCTCAGGACCCGACTGTGCCAGCATCCGGCCTGCTCTGCCGCCCTGTGTTCCTTCTGTCTCCCCTCCCAGCCCTCTTCCTGAGACTCAGATTTCTCCTCATCCTGTTCTGGAAAATCTCCATTCTCTTCCAGGTGTATTGTTGCATCTGAACTCAGGCATGTCCCTGGGACAGCACACCCAGCTCTGGGAGCTGCTGAGGCAGGAATGCCTCGTAGGAACTCAGCCTCAGAAGGAAAGAGCAGTCACTTTCTGGACCACAAGACCAGAGTCAGGCAGGCAGCAAGTGTAAGCTGATGCTGTGTTCGAGGGTGCTGGGCCCAGAACTCAGAAATCCCTGCCCCTGGAAGGTGGCATTGCCGCCGAGCACAGGACAGTGCCAGTGCTGAGCAGTCCAGAGGCGGTGCTGAGACGGCTCCAGGTCCAGGAGGAGGGATGAGGTTGGGGGGAGGACAGTCCTAATGTACTGCCCATTCCAGCAGGGGCGCCCATCTGTCTGCATCAGTGCCCATGGTCAATGAAATCAGGAACTCTGCTGGCGCAGCCCAGGCTTGGTCCTTTTTCAAATCTCCCTAAGTTATTTAACATGCAGCCAGAGTTGGGAATCATGGATCGAAAGGAAAGAAGAGGTGATCCAGGAAACTAATATTTGCTGAATACCTGCCGTGTGCTAGATGGTGTACCTAGTCATGGCTGCTATCTACTGAGTGCTTACTATGTGTAAGACACGGTTTCAAAGGTTTTACATCTATTGGTATGTGTACCAATTCTCTGAAGAATGAGCTCCACGTCTCAATAAGGAAACCGAGGCACAGAGCAATCACAAAGCTCATGAATGACAGAGCACAAATTCAGATCAAGACAGTGAGGCTTCAGAATCCACACTCTCTTTACCGTTACGTCTCACTGTCTCACAATGAGCTTGGCTGTTAGTGAGGGTGGGCCATGTTGTTCTGAGAATGGAGGAAGTTACCTGGAAACCCCTTAACAGAAGTCCCTTAAGAACACAAAAATCTTCATGCTACTGAGCTAACAAATATGATTACTCAAACTGTCTATTCATTCAACTTCAAATTTGTTATATGTAACATTCATTTATGACTTGAAAAAAAGCTGCTGTTTGTTCAGTGAAGGTCCTTAAGGAGTTGGGAATAGGAGAGTGGGAGTGAATGCTCTCCTCCACAAAGCCACTCAGAGACCCAGGATGAAAGAAGCCCCACCATCCTGTAAACTGCATCATTTGAAGAGAAAGGTGGCCTTCTCAGTCCCTTGGACCAGGCCATAGAGAGATGGCATAATCACACATGGGTTTTTCACTGCCTCAGCTGGAAGGGACAGAGGTCATTTCTGCCCCTCCTTCACTGGCTAATCACGTGAGCCTACCTAGCCACAGGGTGGCTGGGAAACATAGGGGAGCCACTGGAATATGTGTAAGCATTCATTACTTGGCCACACACTCCTGAGATGGCTGGGATTCCCAAGGGCCATCTCAGAGAGATCAAAAAATGTGCCTAAAGAGACCCTGAGCTTGGAGTTGGGCCCCACACTCAGCTAGTCTCACTTGAATTCTTATGATTTTTCTACACCATCAGTGGCATTTATTTATGCTTGTGGGCATCCAGTAAATGCTTATGCCACCTCCAAACATAAGGTGACACTAGAAACTTCTGGGTTTGTAAATGTAGATAACTGTGCTATTTTTATGAGATTGGGCTCATTAAATCATCAGGCGAAGTATCTCATGCCATTCTAGGAGCAGAAAGGATCACGCTTGGTGCCTAAAAATAAAGAACAGATTCACTGTGGGTTATTTACATAGGTAGCTTCATAAAAAGCATCCACTAAATAGCATGTCTCCTATATGTGTAAAAGACCACAGTTACATTGATAGTGGTGGCTTCTTGCAGTTTCTGGAGGAGCTCTGCCATCCCAAATTGCTCCAGACACAGAGTTGAAAGGTTGGAGGAAAGTTTTTTCTCGCTCAGTCTGTGATCAGCCCTGGCTATGGTTGTTTATTTACCCACATTATAAGCAGGAATAGAAATTTGCTAAACTCCACAGCTTTAGCATGAAACTTGGCGAGTGATGAAATTTCTCACCTTGTCCGATTGCTTAGGGTCTGCTGTTCTGATAATTACATCTTAAAATACTGCCTATTTTCCAAAAATGCAGCCATCCTGATGGGAAGTAAGAGCGTGCCCTGAGAGAGGTGGTCACTACTTCTGTTTTCCTTGACATGGAGACGTTTTCCCCTTGGCCCCCAGGAAGCCCAGGGCTAAGACCTGGAGACTTCATGTCTGTCCTGCACCTCAGAGAAGTGCTCTCTTGTGCAGTATGCTCCCCCCTCACCCATGACCAAATGCTGTGCTTGGAGTTGGAACTGCATGAATACTGACAAGCCTATCCCAAATCCTCCTAACTGATGGGGCACCTCCTCTTGTGCCCCAAGGATACTGTGCTTTCCTCTAGAAAGGGGCCCAAGCTAAGTGTGCCGAGGGTGACATGTGGGACCAAAGCAAGTCAAATAATGATAACAGTAGCCACCCTAATGAGCTCTACCACAGGCCAGGCACTCCTTGAAGTATTCTACATGTCAATTGATAAAGTTCTCCTAACAGCACTCTGAAGCAGGTGGTGCCATGATCTTTATTTCATGGATAAGGGAGCTTGAGGCACAGGGAGATTTAGAAACTTGCCCAACGTCCTGCAAGTAGACATCAGCAGAACAGAGGAGAGGAGGCAGGCAGGATGGTTTTTGAGGTTGAGCTCTTCACCAATACAGAAAATAAAAAGAGACTCGGAAGGGCGAAATATGATTGACAAGAGGAAACCCGCTGATCACTTTTCCATGTTTCTCCTTGGCATCTGTAAATCCCAGCAGGAGACTGAGTTTCCCTTTCCCAGACTGGCTCTGGTTTCAGAAAGATCTGAACCCCAAACCAAGCTGATCATTGAAACATCTGGGGAACCTTAGAATGGGCATCTATTGAGCATGGGCATCCCCCTGAGCTACTAAACCAGTCTGGGCCCCCAGAAATAGTATTATTGCACATTAAATTTCCTCAGGTGTTTCTAATGGCCAAGCAGGTTTTGAAGTCCATGCTGTAGCAGAATCAAAATGTTCCCAAACACTGGGGTGGGCTCAAACTGGCCTGGGTTGAAGAGGAGTCCAAGATGCATGCCCCATGATATGCACAGGAAGTATGCTTAACACTCAGAAGCAAGGCAGTGTTTGAAAGGGAGGACAGGTTCAGCATGGAAAATGTGTAGCTAGGTAGGGCCTGATCATCAGCCTGCCCTAGTCATCCCTGTTGCCTTAGTGATGGGAATGAGGGCCTTTGAAAACACTTTTCATTGTTTCTTTTTCTTTGTATACAGTCATTGTGAAAGTGCCCATCGGTGAAAAGAAGAAAATGATCAAGCACTAGAATTTCTAACAACAGAGTTATCCTGCTAACACGTGAGTGCTCAGACTCACTTCCTGCCAGATAGATACACATCATCTCTGTTTGTTTTTTGGAAAAGCTGGTGGCACCGCCATTTTGCCATCTGCCTATCTGGGACCTCACTGAATGATGCACCAACGGGTACCTCGTCCCTGAGGTAATGTGGGCTTGCCAGAACTTGAGGCTCAGAGCTGAGCTAGGGTCAGCAGGTCCATAGGAGTCAGGGAAGCCTGTGTAGCCAATGGATGGCCCTGGTGGGTCTGCACCACTAATGGCCACAACCCCTGCCACACCAGCAGCACCGCCATCGCTGCACCAGCTCAGAATCACGGTGTCCAGCCTGGGAGGAACCTCAGAGACCACCATCTGGTGGCCATTTTATAAACAAGGAAGCCAAAGCTTAGAAAGGTGAATGGCAAGCCCAGCTGTCTATCTGCCCTGGCTATGGGCTCTAAGAGGCCTGAAATAAAACTGCAGGTCTGGCAGAAGAATCAGCTGTTTCCTAAGGGCCCGGACAAATGAATGGGCTAGAGAACAAGAGAGGGCAGAGCTCACTGGAGCTTGACTTTGTGGAAAACCTTTATGGCCACTGGCTGACCTGTTGTGTTGTATAACCTAGCTGCATATTAACTGGGGCAAATCCAGCCAACAGACCCAACAGGATTGTATTCCTACAGTTTGGTGACAGTAGCCTAACACATCCCTGCCTCTCTTTCTTACTATCTGCCCCAGCAATGTGATCAGTTAGGTTTTGTCAAGCCAGAGTTTATAATTTTGTCATATCTTAATATTGACTATGTTAATAGAGTTACTGTTAATAGAAAATTGTTAGTGGTTTAATGCAGGGGTTGGAAGATTATATACTAAACATTTTAGGGTTTGTCAGCCCTATGTTGTCTGTTGCAGCAACTCCTGCAGCTGTCACACAAAAGCAGTCATAGATAATATGCAAATGAATGAGCATGACTATGAACCAGTAAAATTTATTTACAAAAATAGGCGGTCAGCCTGCTAAACAGCCTGTAAAGGGGTTATTCTATGCATAATAGAGATTTGTTCCTGAT